ACACCCACACCCACACCCACACCCACACCCACACCCACACCCACACCAATATTTATGATGTCTACATGGTTATGAAATGTAAAGAAAGAAAAGATATAAATAGTGTAACAAATGACTAATGCTTATTACATGTATAGATCATTCTGAAGCACATTGTTGACAATGTATTTTCTTTGTTTTCTGTTCTTCATTATTGAATTTTTTTTCGTGTTCTCTGTATTCTGATATCTTCTTAGAGAACAACACATGCTTTGTTTATTTTTTTTATATGTGATTGAATAAGTGTTTATTCAGTAAATAAACAAATAAATGTAAATATTGATTTTATGAAAAATTCTTTTAGATTCTATATTTATTTCATAATTATATATTTTTTAAAATATATATATTTTTTAAAATATTTATTGATTGAAACATCATGGCTAATAAAAAAAATGTAAAACGGTATGTGGTATCAAATTAATTTCTATTGTCGTATAACTAGTCTATAAGATCGTTGTCTCTCTGAAATAGTTAAGTGCTTTAAGTGACGCTACAAGAACAAATCGTAATTCGATAATTTTTCTTCCAATAAAAAGTTTTATTTATTAGATGCAGTAGAAAACAAGTGTCGAAACGATTGGTTCAACATAAACAAATACCAGCATCTTTACAATTGCATACCATATCAACAACACAATCTGCAACATCAAGTGTAACAACATATTCGACAGGTGTGTCTTTACCATCTCAACAAAAGATCTCGAAAAAATCAAAGATGGATATAACATTAACGTCATCAAAGTCCGATTCAAATACACCTATGGACGGATACACAATAATACAAAACCAAATGTTATATTCTCCAATGTGTAAGACAAATTGTGAAGCTTGTGGACGATGTTGAAGTGGAAATTTGAACATAAACAAGCGTGAAGGTTTATTTCTCATATTATCCTTTCAATGTTCGACATGTAAAAACATCGTCACCGTTGGTAAATATTTCTAAGTATCAAATTTGTCTTTATTTTATTAACATGTGTACTATTTTATAATTAAATTTTAGAAACAAGTCCAAAAATTGTTGCATCTGATCGACGAGATATCAATGTTCGAGCACAAATAGGCGGTCATTTATGTGGTGTTAGACATGCTGGATTAGTAAAATTGATGGGTGCTATGAATTTACCAAGTCCCATTCGAGATGAAACATATTCCAAATGGGATAGAAATTTACTACAGGTGGTAAAAAAATTTTCTGAACGATCTATGAAAAAAGCTGTGGAAGAAACTGCTGCTGCTCAAAATAGTAGAGAGTTAACCATTAGTGGTGATGGATTTTGGCAGACCCGAGGTTTTCAAAGTAGACATGGTGCAGCAGCTGTTTTATCTTGCCACACAACACCAAAAGTTTTGGATTTAGAAGTATGCAGCAAAACATGTAATATTTGCATGGGTGAGTTTTTTTTCTTTTGGTCTTGATTATATTCTTTGTTTTAGGCGCACTTTCTATTAAGCAATCTGATCCAGCTAAATATGATAGTATTATTAAATCACATCGATGCGAAAAAAATTACGATAAAAGCTCTGGCACGATGGAATCTGCTGCTATATTGAAGATATTCCAAAGATCAGTTGCAAAGTATGGAGTTTACTATACTAAGTACATTGGTGATGGTGATTCAAAAACCTTCCCAATGCTTTTTAATAAGGCACCTTATCCAGGTATAATGAATATTTATTTTAAAAAGCTGGCGTTCACAATGAAAACATCTTTTCTATATTTAGGAAAAGTAATCGAAAAAATTGAAGACTTAAATCACTTTAGTACAAGAATGAAACGAGGATTAGAAACAATCAAACGCGACTATCGTGGAAAAAAATTGTCCGATGGTAAAACAATTGGTGGTCAAAATCGTCTGTCAGGTAATTATTGTGCATGCAGAAAGTTCTATAAAAAAATCAACAATTCGGATCTTGTTTTCTAATTTTAGCTCGTAACATAATTCGGTTACAAATGACATTCGCCTCTACCATTCGAAAATGCAAGCATGATCTGGATTTATTAATTGAAAGATGTTGAGCCATATACTGGCATAAATATTCGACTAATGATGATCCTCATCATGGTTTTTGCAGCATCGAATGGTGTGGCTATTTGAAATCTGTACGTGATGGCACTTCATACGATCATACATCACATGCTTTACCACGTCCTGTACTTCAAGCAATTAAACCTGTTTTCGAAAGACTTTGTTCACAGGAAAGTCTTGCGCGGGTGGTGAATGCTGCAAGTCAGAATGCGAATGAAGGTTTTCATTCGTTAGTCTGGCTCATGTCGCCGAAACACAAGGCTTCTTCTGGAACAACTTTCGAAATTGCATGCTGTCTTGCAGTGACAATATTTAATGAAGGTTATTATGGAATAGGTAAGACGAAAAAATAGTTGCAAATTATTGTAATTCATAATTCAAATTATTGACACTTTTTTCCACATAAATTTATTTTATATTTTGATAGGAGATATTTTAAATGATATGTGCGGTTATCGTGGTTATTATACTGATCAAGCCATGATACATTTCGATAACAGCCGACTGCACACAGAATCAAAAGAAAACAACAGAAAAAGAAGAAAAGAAAATAGTCGTCCTTTGGTTCAAAACGATGAAAAAGAACAGGACAATGATGCAACATTTGATGATATTGATCAAACAAATGATGATTATGATAATACAGATCCTGTAGCTGAAGCAACACCTGAAGATAATCATTCAACAAGTGACAGTGAAGAACAAGAAACTGATGACAATAAGACGACTTCCAGCGATGATGATGCATTAGATGGTGATGATTATGGTTATTACAATCCCAAAGATAAGAGACAATGGACAAAAGAAGAGTAACTAACTATTCGTAGTTTTTTTTTTTTATATAAACTTTTTCATGTTTAAAGTTTTTCAATAAAGCTTTCCACATGCGTAACTATTAAATAATTTCTTGTGTTTAACTATCAGAGATCTGATTTTTCTATAAAGTTTATTAAAATATTTTTAAAACCTCCTTAAATATGTGCTATGCTAAAAAAATCATAATTTTTTTAAAAATCATATTCTATGTGGAGCGATCACGAAAATCGTCAAAATTTTCAACCAAAAAAGTGTTTTTGGAGAAAAAAAAATATCGATTCTGAAAGAGCGAAACACGGGCTATCTTCCTATGCATTTATCTCAACTTCGAATTTTTTATCGAAAGTTGACTTTTTTTGAGGGGGGGCTTCAGTAAGAACATTCTTCTACATTTCACGTACACACCATCGCTAGCTCACTTCGGCTCACACTTACACAAAATATGGCAAGAAATATTCGAAGGAACACCACTCGAAGATATTCCTGTAATGTATGCAAATCGACTAACGGACAGCCTCAAACATCTACTAGTGCAAAAAAAGCCAGACAAAGAAGCAATAAGACTACTACCAGTATCATCAGAATCAGAATAAAAAATAGAAAACATTACCACGATGAAAAATTAAAGAATTAAAAAACAAAAAAAGAAATGAAAAAAGAATGTAGACAAAGAAAAGAAGAATAAAAAACACCATCATGATAAAAAACAACACCAAAATATAAAAATATAAAAAAATAAAAACGTAAACAAACAAAGAAAGATGAGAAATAAAAATAAAGGAAACATTACTAACAAGAATACTAATCCACACATATTGTGACCTATCTCTTTATCTAAACCTATCACTATTATTTGTCAAACACCTATGTCTCCCTTCTTTTTTATTTCTTCTTTATAATTAAGAAATCTTTTTCTTGTATACATCGAAAAACCATTCTTCTTTATTCTTTATATTGTAAGAGTCTTTTTCTTATGTATTGAAAAAGCTTCCTCTCTCCATTGTATTTATTGTTATTCTGTATGTTGTAAAAATATCCTTCTTATATATTGAAAAACTTTTCTTTTATGTTGTAAAATTATTTCTCCCTACTCCTATTATCTGTAAAAACCATCTCTCCTTACTCCCATTATTTATTGAACTAACTGCTACAATTTCGGAATAATAAATCTCAAAAAATACATTACCAACAGTGCATTGCGTTACTGGCGAAAGCATTAAAACACATGAAAGTGCATTATTATGCATTATTATACATTAAAGTACACAAAAACGCATTATTATACATTATTATATATTAAAGTAAATTAAAATACGTCAAGGTACAACAAAATACAGTAAATCATACGACAGTGAATGAACATTCATAAAAACGCAAAATTCATTAAAACATTTGAAATTGAATTATAGTACATTAAAATACATTAAGAACCCAAACATATATGAAAAAAGCATATATAAATCCATATTCAAACCTGATGTTTATGCAATATACATATAAAATCAATATTCAAAATTGTTCTTCCTACAATAAAAAATTAAAAATCAAGATTCAACTGAACTTTCCATCAAAAAATCTACTCCTATATGAATTCGCTTGAAAAGATAATTCGAAAGGCCTCGCGTTATTCTCATACTTTATTTAATTATTTATTTTTCTCCTTGTCTTTTCTCTCTTTTTTTTTCTCTTATTATCTTTTTCTTTTTCTTAAAAAATAATCAAAATTAGTTTATAATAAAAAATTAAAAAAACAAATTGTATTAAAATTTATTATATTTATCATTATTCTCTTCTTTATTATACATTAATAAAATATAAAATTCACCTAAAAATAAAAAATTGTGTTGACTTGTCAAAATAGAAAGAATGAAATTCATCTTGATTTATCTTACTTGGATTTTCCTAGACTGTAGTTATCAGCTGCCAAGAAAATTTTTCCTAAAATTTTTATTTCTTTTTGCTGTGAAATATACTCTTACTGCATTGCGATCGATTAGAAAATAATGTCGCTCATGTATCCTATGTAAGAAAGTGTTAGAAAACTAGAGAAATAGTTTTTTTTTTTGTTCTATTATGGTTGGTTTTTCTGTGTCCGATTCAGATAACATTTATGCGTTCTGTCTCGGCAGATTTTCCTCTTTGATATCCACGACTGCAACAAGATTCAGAATAGGCAAAGTGTAGAGATGAATGTGGCGGTATACTTCTAACCGTAATAAGCAACTCAAAATACACTTATGTGTTGTTTTTTCCACAAGACACAAAAAAAGAAGGACAACATATATTCTTTTACTATTTTTCTCTTCTACATTGTGTAACATCGTCTTATATAAGTTGTAGGCATAGTAAACATAAATGAATAATTGATCTCAGTAAAAATGTATATCAATTAATGTTATATGACTATTTTGTAGACAGTCATTTTTCTTTATTAAATGAGTGGAGAATTTGATTTTCGAGCATTACTGCTCAAAATACAAGATCTTCTATCCGACAATGATCGACATCGTCTTCTGTTTCTTCTTGGCGAAGATGTTCCCAGGTATTTGCGAGATGATCCTTCACTTAGTGGAATACTTCGTGTACTAGAGTCTCTTTTCGAAAAGGCAATAATTAGTAATCAAGATTGTGATTACCTTATTAAAGCATTCACGAAAATCCATTGTAATGATGCTGCAAAACGGCTTCAAGGTATGTATCATCTGATATTTTTATGTAGATTCACATTTAAAGAGCTTTTTATGTTATTTTTTTCAGAATATCAGCTAGCATTGGAACATTTTAATCAACGAAGTTACTCACTTCAAGATATTCTTTTATTTGACAACGACGGTGAAGATAAGATGCTTTCAGCTGGTTCGTATCAATAGAAGACTTTATTTTGTCTACGATCTAAATTTTCTTTTAGGACAGAGACATATTTCATATGATCCCCATTCGATTGTAGATCATTCGACCTCGATGACAGATCTAAATCTTGAAAACAAACCACCGAGTTCATACTTACCGGTACATAGTGGAATGGAAGAAGACATTCATGAATCTCGATGGACTCATCAAATATTCAAACGGCCTTTGAATACTCGTGAATGGATTTTACTTATCAGCAGTGGTATGATTCTGTTGAGTCTTTCATTAGCGATTTATTTCTCGACAAGTAAGTAATACAAGAGGGAATCTGTTGCAGACAGCTCTCTAGATGCATGTATTGAGATTGAATAACTTTCATGAAGTAAATTAATAGCTGATTTGTCATTAATTGGGAAAATTTTCATTGTAATTATGACGAGAAACCATTCATATGAACACTCATTTATTCAAAGTAGGAATGTAAATTTTTAATCCGATCGAACTTGAACACAGTCAATCACGAAAGGAAAGAGCCTAATCTTATGCTGCTCTAAATATCAAAATTTATGTAAGATTAGGGGTGGGAAGTTACCGTTCCCAAACCGTTACCCGGGAACGGTAACGGTAACGGATACTAAGGAAAAAGTTACCAGTTACCTGGGAACTGGTAACGGTCCCGTTACCGTTACCTGGGTAACTGGTAACGGTGGAGTTACCAGTTACTTTTTCCTGGGAACTTCTCAAAAAGATGAACTATCACTTCCATTCAACCGAATATCGTCAATACATCATTAAACATAGTTTGGAGTTACCAGGGTAACTGGTAACGGATAACCGTTACCAGTTACCTGGGAACGGGTCAAGTGAATAAATAATGCATTGATGATGTTCGGTCGGCTAGAAGTGATAATACGTCTTTTTGAGAAGTTACCAGGAAAAAGTAACTGGTAACTCCACCGTTCCCAGTTACCCAGGTAACGGTAACGGGACCGTTACCAGTTCCCAGGTAACTGGTAACTTTTCCGTTCCCAGGTAACTGGTAACTTTTCCGTTCCCAGTTACCTGGGAACGTAACGGTAACTTCCCACCCCTATGTAAGATTAGGATAATTTTCTGAAATGAATACAATTGAATATCGATGCCATTCGAGTTTTATGTCACATATCTAGTGTGGAAGGTGTCAGTTACAAAAGAGATGAATCTCAATGAATAGAATCTGTAAAATTAGACTTTTTATTGATGAACATTCGCTACCTATTCAGATTGTCATTTATTAAGTCGAAATCAACTTTCTTCTCCTAGTTTTGATGTCTTTCTATATTTATAGACAAGTACAGTCAATTACAATGAAAGGCTGCACCCTATAGTCTTACTGTTTACTTCGACAAACTTTGCGAAAAGCTGTTGTGTTTTCAGTCAGAAAAGAAATCGATGTGTTTGATCACATGTTTCGTCTTGTAATCGATAGATAACTCTTCGAATGACTAACTATCGTCTTAAAAAGTAACACTTATATAAATACTAGAAAGATAGATGGTTCACATGCTATTAGGTGTGAATGTACTCAACCGAATAAGAGGAGAAATATAGATGAACTTATTTCATATCATGATTGTATTCGTAATTTTGAAAGGATTATGCTGAGTGAAGCGAAGCTAAATTTTGCTCTATTATAATTAGTATTTAATATTTACTTCACAAAACATATTTATTAATAAGACCGAAAATCAAATGAACACACTTGCTTTCAGCTTCAAGTATTTTGGTAGTTTTAAATATGAAAAGACATTCTCATCTTGTATTGAATAAAGTCAAAAAAAGTAGATACATTTCTAATAAGAAATTATTTAGTATCCTATAAATAATTACGATGAAAATATCGTATATATGTAGTATAATAGAAGAAACTTTGCAATAGCCATATCTTCCTTGACTTTTTGGATTCATCGGTAAAATCCTTTGAAAATAAAAAATTTCAACAATTAACTCGGAGAATCTATAAAAACCTCATACAAAAAAGCTTCTTCTAGAATTAAAAGGACGATTCTGTGGAAAGTGTCTAAAAATAGACTAGTTTTCAAGAATTTTGGAGTATTTCGAGTAGAGATGGAAAGAGAGTTATAATATTTTAGTCACAAACTCTTCAG